CGATGCGATCGCCCATGATGAAGCACCCGTCGTCAACTTGATCGCGATCGCTGTACATGAAATTCGCATCAGAACGCTTTTCCCGATGAACTTGGGGATATGGTGCCGGTGATAACTACCGCTCCTCCCGCAACAGGAACAGGCGGCGCGATAATTGGCATGTTATCAATGAGAAGCCTATGTAAACAACGTGTCTGTCGTCAGTGATACGCGTTGAAATTTCCGCGCGACGCATTCGCAACTTAACTCGATGTATTGTAACCGTTTGACCGTCATCCCGTCATCGATAATGATATCGTGCGGATTAAGGAACCCATGCAGCGAGCGCTTGGCGAACGGAATCGTACAATGATGTTGTTGTACCGCGAGCTGTCTTTAATCTGATTAATGCAAATTTAGATGAACTTACGTCGAATCTTATTCATCCTGGATTGACAAACCTTCGAGAATTTCTTTTATCAAAACTTTTTGTAAAAATATTTAAAGATTCATTAGATATTTTTGTAAAGATTTATAATGATTAGAATTTTTTTGCTGCTGTTTACTCTAACATTAATATAATTAGATTTGTGGTTGAAAGGGAACTTATTTTAATTAGTTAAAATAATAAATATTACATTCTAGCGTTTTGTTTAATTACAAAAGTCAGTAAAGAGAAATATCGATACGTTTGGTAGGAAAGTATCGAACATTTTTAATTTTGACTAAAATATTGCATCGAACTTAGCATCTCCGATTGTTTATCATGATGATTGGACTACAACTGTTTAATGCCGACGTAACGTCCGTGAATATATTTTAATGGAATATGAGTGCACACGAAACGATTTTCGTTTCCTCTGCGACCTGTAATTTGGACTGTTTCTTCCACCTCTGCTATATATGGCACAATGATGAGATTATTACAAAGTACAAGTATTGATAAATGAAAACTGCAGAAGAGAGCGTGTTGGTACGTGAATGTATCGTACAGCGGTTCTTTCCATATCTTAAGATTTATTACACGTGTTTATATAAGTGAGAAAGTGTCGTGCGCAAGTAGAGTTAAAGGGCCAAAGTGATCGTTAATGAAACAAAACGCTGCGCGTATGCAACCTGATTTAATCAAAATATATTGGCGGCCATTACGTCAGTCGTAATGCGATTGAAATAAATTTATCATGACGCAACGCGATATTTACACGCCGGCAACATTGTAAGATTTAATAATGCCGATAAGCCTGGAAAATTCCAGAGATCCATGAATTATCCGGCGCAATAGGATGAGGAGCGTACAGGATGTATAGCTGTTAGCTACAGTGTAATCATTCAAGTAGTACATCATTGTGCGAAATTCTAGAAACGTATATGTATGGTTTCGACTTCTACTTTGTAAAAGTCCACTCGGAGATTTAACTGCTTCATATCCTCAGGATCTTACAATTAGTATCAAGTCACACAAAAAATTCACAATATATCAGACGTTTGTAAAGTGGATCTTCACAGAAGAAAGTTCTACTTCGAGAAGCTATTTAACAGAATGCCTGTCTGGCGAGTTTTGCATTGTCTTATTGTGTAGGCCGCAGTAGAATTTTTATTATTTAACGCTAAATAATAAAAAAATTATGTGATATGGCTGCATCCTCGTGAGTACTGCGTTGAATAACAGTATTTTTTACTTTATACTGTTACTTAGCTATTTGTGTCATTTAAAATTTTACATAGACAGGTTTATTTTTTTTTACAAACACACGTTTACAAAAATGTTAATTGATGTCGAGCATCAGTAAACGTCGTCAGCAGTCGACGTGTTAAAGAATAATGGCAGCCCCAAAAAGTTTTCGTAAGCGAGACGAACCTTGCAACCCCAATTTACATATCTGCTGTTCAAGAGTCTTATCTGAAAATCTAATTTGAAAAATCCCAAACGATTTTCATACCTTCAATGTGCGTGCGGCCCTGAGTCGAACAATTACATATGTGCATGCTTATCACGTCAATCGTCCTCGTCGCCGGCGCCTTCGTCGCCGCGATTAATTGGCCCAATGGCTCGCTTGGGTCTGGGGGCGCGTCCAGCATGTTGCCCCGATCCCCCAGAGGGGGTCAACGAGGAGACTGGCACCCATCGCGCCTCCTTGTCTCTGTCTTTCTTTCTCGCACCGTCTCCAGAGTGATCGTCGTAAATTAATCGACGAAGCGCCAGCAGACACCGAGATAACGACGGAAATTTCTTTCTCGTCAATCGAGACCTTGATTGAGTTGTATCGGTGTAAACAAATGCTGCCGGCTTGGCGAGCGCGCTAATTCGGGACGACAAATCTAATCTGCAAAGTTAAGGGCAGGTCGTGGTTCTCTCTCTCTCTCTCTCTCTCTCTCTCTCTCTCTCTCTCTCTCTCCCCCTCCCCTCTCTTTCTTTCTATCTCCCCCTATTTCTCTATGTCTCTCCCAGTCTGTCCGTGTCTCTCCGTGCCTCTCCCTGTCTCTCCCTATCTCTTCCTGTCTCCCCTGTCTGCTCGTGTCTGTCTGTGTCTCTCCCTGTCTGTCCGTGTCTCTCCGTGCCTCTCCCTGTATACATGCACGTTTATATGTATTTTTTCACTCATCTTATAGAATATAGAATGAGCAGAACAGCGCATTTTGTCGCACAAATTATTGACGGTTTACATACTCTACGCTTCATCAACTGTTTGTTTATACATTACACTTATCTCGTCGAATATTTAGCGTAAATAGAGATAAAAATATATTCTCCGTGATTCGCTTTTTTTTGCATTAAACATGATATTCGAACGTTCTACGTGCTTTTATCACGTATTATGTTTATGTGAACAATTTGCGCAGCCACGATTTACGGGTATTAAATCACGTTTAGCCACGTAGTAGACTACTACTCACCTTACATGTTTGTCTTCTCGGCGCCACCATGATACGCTGTCCCTTCAATTCTAGCGATTTTGATGAGGAACACGGGGGGGAAGGTGTCTCTCCCTTGTATGTTCTCCAGTATCCAGTATTCTTCCGTCCATCACGTAATGTCTGCATGGCTTGTGCGCACGATTACGCTGCGTTTTTGCTGACCGAGCACGTTTACGTCTTACCGAAACGATTTTGATAAAGGATTAACGTGACACCACGCGTTAAACGCGTGAAAACCGCACGTAGACGTAATATATAGCAGCAAATCATGAAAATCAGCACGTAGTTATTCCTCGAATGCAAATATTACTATTCGTACTTGTACGTATTCGGTTTTATTCCTTTATTATGCTTTAACGGAGACTCAATTAAGAAATGGAAAGAAAGGTATCCAAAGATACAATAAAAAATAATTTTTTTCTAAAATTTTTCCATTTTACACAATTTTTTTTGTAATGAATAATGTCTGAAAGAATGAAGAAACAAGTACATACATATATACGTATACACATACACAGTATCATATACGAAAATTAATCGAAATTATTCTGAGAGAGATATATATAATATGTTATTAAATTTCGAAAATAAGCAAATGAATGTTCATTAAGAGAAACGTGGTGGCTTGTTACATGATTTTATAAATGTCAAGTTGTTCCCAAAAATATGAAGCAAAAATTATTACTGAAAAAAGTCAGGTTCATATTTGAAAAACAATGCGGAAAGGTTGTGTGTCAACAAGCGATAAGGATATTATTGTATTCAATATATGATTAATTTTCTTCTAATGAAGAAAATTGCTGGAACGTTTCAAACTACACGGAGTCTTCATTTTTCAGCTGCAAAACAAATTAATAATAATAATAGTAATAACGGAAAAAGTGTTAGGACAGAAACAAATGAACAAGTGAATACATAGATAAATTATTATACGAGGATTAAATAAAAAATAAAAATTAAGCAGACTACACGAATGTAGTTCGATCATATTGGATACAATAATATCCTTATCGCGCGTTTGTTGGCCCACTACCGTTCGACATAAAATAAAAACTCGTTTACGATTGTATATCAAATACGCAAAATTTGAATGTGACGCACATGATAACACAGTTAAATAGTCTTAACGTTATCATCGCAGTTTGACTGGCGAGCAAAGTGCGTTTATCGCGTTTGGCAATTAAGCCTTTAATCGCGTTAATAACAACGTCTGCCCTTTTGCGTGAATCTTTTTATCTTGGACATCTTAAGTACACGGAGAACCCGCGGAAGAGTTTCCCAAAGTAATGCAATTTTTCCGTGATCGTTTCTTTCACGTCTGTGCGAATTTTTTTTAATTATCCTCAATTATTGCCTCGGCACGCGAGGTCGCGGCATATCACTTGCACGTTCGACCTGATTTTAGCAGACACATTTTATCACCTCTTATGCAGAAAACTACTATATATATCTCGTTAATTTTTATTTTTAACCACGTTCGGACGTCGGCCCGCGTGCGTCATTGTAATCATTATTTTCGAAATATTTCATGACGTGTGCCACTCTCTCCATAAATCAAAGTACAAGGACCAATTTAGATAATTGAGCATAATTCGCTATTTGGATGATTGCTTTTTCACAATCCTATTAGCACTTCGTAGGTGGATAATGTATCCTAATCACAATACGCCGAAATGGAAATTAACCCTAGATATTTTCTACATCTTGTGTAATGTGTATTTGCGCGCAGCATTTATGTTTTAAATTAGATAGAATTAAATTATATAAAATAAGAATTTTTTATAATTCAAATTATAGAAGAGCTTTATTTTAATTTGTTTATGTAATTATCACTCTTTAAACATTTATTACATACAATATATTTATGATTACAGCAGCTAAAGCAGTAGTATTTTAATCTCTAGTTTATTTAATTAATTTTTTACGTTGATTAATAACCACGATATCGAACGTAAAGATTTAAAATGGTAAAATGTGGCAAAAATATATTTATAAAGAAAAACTTGCTCCAAAATTTTCACGCTACGAATTGTACACGAGCTTTGTATCCTATGATATCCTACATAAATAATGATATTTATCGAAGCCTATCCTTTAATTTTCAGATGCCTGCTTACGGTGCCAGGCAGAAAGTAAGAAGGAGGTTTACGGCCGGCAAGACTGCGTGGTCGTTTGGGGCGAGTGCAACCACTCGTTCCATTACTGCTGCATGTCGCTTTGGGTCAAACAGAACAATCGTTGCCCATTGTGCCAGCAGGAGTGGTCTATCCAACGAATGGGGAAGTAATCCTTGCGCGTACGCCAACGTTTAATCGTAGCCTTTAAGTTTTTTCTTGCAATTATTCGGCCAATTAATATCGAAGTGGATTCGCTTTACCGAGAAGCTGCGGGTTGTGATATATTCTTCGGACGACTGTGGAATTTATTTCCTTTTTCAGAAATCTTCGCAAGTGATAATCAAAGTTATGATATTTTAGACAAGAATTATTTTGTTATAACATATTTATTATAGATATAAGTATGTTATAACGATATTTATAAATACTAATATTAATGAATACTATGTAAATAAAATGTGTGATTGCCATTAAAAACTTGCAGATTATAAAATTATCGCTTCTCTTCTATAAAACAAATTGTTTCCTTTGTATTACTATAGTGTATATATCTAAATGTGATTGTGTATCGAATAATAATTGCTTTTTTATTGCATAGAATTTATTGTTTCGTTTACCTATATATTAGTGACCTGATAAACACATTCAATTTCTTCTGTTTAATGAAATATTAAATTTTGCATTGTCTAACGTAGCTTTAAATTCCAAACAATCGGGGTATAAATCCCGAGTAGTAACTTAATTTTTAGATACCTGCATGGAGTTTAAATTAACAAAAGTAATATTTCACAGAATTTTTCAGATTTTCATCTCGGACTTTACAGGAGTTTCTTGTTTCTTTTTATGCTGTTAGCTGCAATACAGCAAAAACACTTCATGTATGTATTTTTTATGAATGTCATATTTCAGAGCGAAAAATGCCAAGTCAGCCAAATCTTCTACATTGAGCATAAGCAAGAATACATCTGAACTAATTAATCATATTTTAATGAATTATATATGAAATAGGGGTAGATAAGACTGCAGGAAAGAATAATAGAATTAGAAATAGCCCGATATCTCAAAATTTGCAAAAGTTAGAGCAACCACGGACATTCAAATGCGTACATACACACACACACACGCACACGCGCGCACACACACACACATTTTGTAAAAATATTATTTTTAGACGTTTTAAAACATTTTAAACATATTGCCAAAGAAAACTGGAAAAAAAAATTTTTCACGAAAACAAAGCTTCCTCTATGAGGAAGCAAAATTGAAAATGTTATTTCTAAAAGTAAAAATAGTATAAGCATTGTTGGAACATAAGAAACTGATGCATTATTAACAAAAACTAAATTATTACTAAGTTATTATATATATATATATTTATTTATTATATAAATTAAACAATATATAAATAATTGTAGTACAACTAATTAACAGAAAGATTTCATTTTATTTAACGAATTCGTGCACAATTTAATTTCGAGCATTTCATAATTATTAAGTTTTATAAAAAGAATAATTGTCATATAATGCACAATTGTTTTCACATATCTGATTGTAAGATATATGATACTTGTCGCTTACGGAATACTCGAAAGTGGAATTATAATGACGAAATGTACAAAAGATCGTCCGAAAGATAACATCTCGAAGTACAAGTACGAAGTGCAAAGTATCGTCGTGCGGACTTGGTTCAATATTCGAGACACACCTGCTCTGAAATCATTGTTATCAAACATTACATAAGAGATATTATTTTATCTTGCGTAGACGTTGCACGAATGACAAACAGTGAATTGGATAATGTGTGGAATGGACCATCAAGGTCGGCGCTGGCTATGTAAAATAATAACAATTCGCGATTAGTTTCTAACGGCCTGTGTCCACGATGCTAGAACTTGGTCCAAGTTCTAGTTCCGAGAAAATTGAGTAGCTGCAAGTTGATTGGCTACACATTTCTCGAAACTATAACTTGGATCAAGTTCCGGCATGATGGACCTAGACCTTAATAGAGTTGAGATTTCGCTAAAAAAAGTTGGTCAATTAACGAATTGACAATAGTTTCATCAATTCCTTTTTTTTCAGAACGAGGAAATTGTTTATCCAAAAAGATGGATAGAGTAATCGATAAGTAATAAGAAACACAAGAAGGGGAAAAATGCCATTCTTAAGTCGCTCTCACACGTAGCGGCTTCGAAGTATTTAGGTTGATATTGCGTGAGCTGTATCGCGATTTAAGCAATTGTGATGACGTTGCCTAAATTCTTCCTAATCATGATATCCTATTTTGTCTGTAGAAGCAATCGTATTTCCTAGTACGCCATACGCAAACATCTATTCATTCCGAGGGATCCCGAGTGGTGGTCAGATATTTAAGTGACTTATCTTTAATGTTGAAAATCCTTTAATAGCGGGTAAAGGTGAGAATTATCATTACTCTCTTCTTTTTGGTCTTTTCTTCGAAGCTTTTAATCTCCCTTATACATTAAAGAAAAACCAAGCAGTAATCAGAATATCAAAAGCCCTGAGGAAACGAAAAAGAAAAGTATTCGCTGCATTGGCGTTTACTGTAGTCAGCAGTAACTAAAAAGTATAAGACGAATATCTAGATAATGACGGGCGCATTATATATTCCATGCGAGCTTTTTAGCGATAGCGATGTATCTTGAAAGGTAATTAAGAAATGAGTTCAATAGTCAGAAGATATCTGAACTAATGCTCATTGCTGAATTATTCAAGACTCATAGCATCGCCGCAAAATCGCCCCAAGTCGTTACTTAAATTAATAGTGGCGAACGCTACGTGCAATCGTAAATTGCGATATTATTGGTAGCCCATATTGACAAAATGTTAAACGTTAACGTTTATTAATGCGCGTAAGACATAGATATCTTTAACGACACGGTGTGTGTATTGGCGGTTTTGTCAGATAATAAAAATTTATAGTTCAGGCGACGAAGTGACTGTGCGTTGACGTCTCTTGATAGAAAGCGACGGGGTCAACGAGCTAGAAGTAACATTCCGACCTTTCTTTCCATTCCAATTCCGAATGTAGAATCGATTCTTCAACTCGCAATTGCTTATACAAATTCTTATTGTTAGTCGCGTAGGTTTATAGCTAGGCGAATCGATGATATCGTCATGGAACGCTCAACGATACAATTATATTAACAATTATACAATTAAGAATGTTCATATTCCGTAATTTATCATAAAATTTTGAGTAAGATACATCTGCTATTTAAATGCCAGTTTAAATACCAGAACGATATTGAAAAGATCGCGAAAGGAAGGAATTAATTCAGATAACAGTAGTACGTAATTTAAATAATGTGTCATAAATAATTCATGTTATTCTTCATAACAGTTTTCATAAGATGTAAAATTATACGATTCAAGTTTTCCAGCTATTGTACTTGTCCTTTCTAAAACGCCCTCGAAGGCGTTTGCGAGGCTTTACAAATTTATTCCAGTTTTCTTTTTACCGAGGTAAAAAGTGCAAATATACAATATTTTACCGTTTATCGCGGTGCTTACCATCATTTACGAGCATTCTAATCCCATTCTCTTGGAAACAAACGAATGAATAGAGGGACGTCCTAATTTCCTCCGCTTCCGCGACAATTGGCTGTAAAACGTGTTGGTACATACGGTCCGTAAGTGGAAAACTTTAAACTTATTTCTGTTTCGCAAATGCTTGAGAATCGAGTGGCATCGTGAATCAGTGGGAGAGTAATACAATATATACGTTAACCTGTTATGGGCCGCCGGCAATCTACGGGCTGCCAGAAAAATTCAGGACATTAGATCAAAATATATAAAATTATGAAAACAAAATTTTTTAACCCCGCGCGGAAAAAGTGCACGGAGAGACCGATATGGTTGCCACATGTCTAATAAGGATTGGCACAACCCCAATAAATAGTAATACTTGGAACAGCTATATCTGTGGGTGTCATACCCGCTTTGGTATGAGAAGTAGTGGAGACAACTATATGCGTTTTGTGCATCAAACTTAGTGAATGTTGCAACACAAACCGATGTAGATGCCCCCGCTGTTTATACGGCAACATTTTAATTTTAGTGATTTTTGCCTTAGCCGGTCTTTCCGTGTGAAGTTGCTTGAATTAAACGTTAACGCCACGGGCTGCCGCAAGCATAAATAATTCACCCAATTGTATTGGTGGATTTTGATTTTAAGCATTGAACTAAATATCGAGATTATTCAGATAGCCATCGGATGTTTTTCATTCATTAATATTGACGTTGATTCAACGATTTTATTTCAGTTACACTGATCTTGTTGATGCAACATTGTTTCTTTTTTTCCGTGCGCGAAATCGGAAAGAGGTGCGTTTCTGGCGTCGCCCTCGCAAGTATGCGGAAGAATACGATTTCCCACATAATCATAAAGGCTTTCCCTATGAGGCTTCGCAAGATTTCAAAATCAAATGTAATTTTCCACGTGCAATGCGATCTGGGCTTGCATGATCGCGAGATAACTTGGATTCCGCGAAATCTGAGGTACGAAGAAACGTATTCTCGTGCGACGTAACACGACGAACATCCACGTACGACGGCGAACGACGTCACGTTTTATCCCCGTCGGGAGGCGTGTTCGCGTTCTGTCACGAGGCCGAATTTCTGCAAGAAGTGCCCGGGAGTCAGGCACGCGAGATCCCTCGCCTTCCGAGAACTTCCCAGCCTAAGTCTAACCGGTCGTTTCAGCTTCGAAGAAACGATAAGTATAATGACGACGAGGCCGGGCTGGCGCCGTTTCGCCTTTCTACGACGCGATTGGTCAAGCCTCCAAGACGAGCCCCCACGTGACGACACGTGACGCGACAAGCGAAACGGATAACGAATAATATGACGGTGACCTTCGGACGATACGTCGCAAATAGCATTACGTATCGTGTAACTCGCACGAGCGCGCGTAGCTGATTAGCATTGCGCGATACATCGATAATTTTTGTGCTGATGAGTCAAAATAGTTATGCTTACTCATTCAAAAAGAGCACTTGGACGAAGCAATTGTCCGTAAATGGCGTATTTAAAAAAAATGGCCGACTTCGAACTGGCCGGTGCTCGCGATTTTCTACTAGACTTATTTTACGAATAAATAATGAAATGTAAATTTATTTGGCGCCGCCAGCCAATGCTAGATACAACGGGCCGTGCTATGACTCGACCTGTGGCCTGAGCACTTCCCTCGTGCCGTCACGCTCTTTCTTGCCCGACTTTTATATTCAATATCTAAGTTGTTATTGCAAATATTGCAATACGGTATGGGACTTTCTTGTTCATTTCAATCCGATCTACCTTCTCAAGATAATATTCGCAGAAAGTTACGGGACACTCTGTATAATGTATTAAGTTTTTTTTAGAAATTGTCCCTTTCGTACAAAACAAATCTAGCCTGATCATTTAAAATATTATTGAAATACGACCTATTAATTGTAAATTAAAATATTGCCGATTATTATCCTTCAGAAGAGCGATTATCAAAATCTGTGCCTAACGATCTTACGGTATATCAAACATATTAATAAATAACTTTAGAGTATGTGTAATCTAAAATCGAAAACGTAAGTGATTGAACTCAG